GGCTTAAATAGAGATACAACAATTTAGAAGGGGCAAACACAGAAAGTACTAAGAAAATGAAAACCACTTTCTTCCCTATACAACTACTATTAAATATAGAATCTAGTATTTATGTACTGTGACAAGAACATATTTCTCTATTTAAGAAGTACTCAGACACATGTTGCATCAAAAGATGTAGTATCTGTGAGGAACACAAAGTTCAGCTCAGTTCAGGTAAATCACAAAATTACATCTTAATTGTGAACTTGATGATATTTTAAGGTTTAAAACTTGAATAAAGAAACAAAATTACACATGAATTTTAGATAACTACCAAGGCATTTTTCAGATAGTGACTCCTGACTGGGTCAACAAACTCCAGGATTAACTAAGCCTGAAGCTAACTTCACAGAAATAATCTCTGTGGTAATGTACGAGTCAGGATAACCAGAGACTCTCGGCTGAATCCCTTACTGAGTCCAGGTTTGTACAACACCYCTCTACACTCTCATGTGTTTGTGCCCCTCTCCTGTGTGTTTAGACAAGTCCTGCTTCAACACCCTGTTCAACTATGAGGACATGCAGGAGATCACCCAGCACTTCGCCGTGGTTCACGTGGACGCCCCCGGTCAGCAGGAGGGGGCTCCTCCCTTCCCCACCGGGTGAGCATGAGAAACGAGTTCTGCTGGAGGAGCAGCAAGTTCATTAGCTAATGGAAACATTTTGAATCACTCAGTCTGTTACTGAACTTAAGTATTTCAATTTATGATGAACTCAGTTTGTCCAGTTAAAGTCCCAGCTCACATGAGCTCACGTCTGTGTCCAGATACCGTTACCCGACCATGGACGAGCTGGCTGAAATGCTGCCCTCTGTGATGACTCATCTGAAGTGAGTGCCGCCCTAAAGCCAGCTGCTTGTTGGCACGATGRAAGTRCTCTGATAATTTGTCCTTGGTGCCACAGTAACCACCTGTTCTGCCTCTTCAGGGTGACCAGCGTGATCGGCATCGGTGTGGGAGCAGGAGCCTACATCCTTACCCGCTTCGCAGTGAGACCTCATTATCTGTCCCTGTCTTTGTTTCAGTCTTCTTGACCAGCGCCTTGTCTCAGGGTTTAGCTCTTTATACGGATCATAAAAGCCTCCCAGTGAACTCGCACAGGGCATCAGGTTGCTCTGCATGCTGCCGCTCTGCTGTCATTCACCTTGTCATCAACCACCTTGAAGTTGACCTCCTCTTTTTAGTTGCATTTGGGAGCTCAAATAAGCAGCAGAAAGTTCTGGATGTGGCTGAGAGCGGAGAGGGAGCTCTGACAGATTAATAATAAAACGAGAGGCGCGGAAATGAGAAAATAGCAACCGTGGCTTCGTTTAGCAGAGTCTGCTCTTGTTTATCACTACAGTGGAAAAACGGATATTGGAGTGTATTTGCTTTAACATGTTAGGCAGTAAATGAGATTGTCCACCACAGATTGAGAGCAGAGAGTGCTGCACTGCGTTATCGAGCTGTAAGCAGCAGCCGCAGTGCTCCTTCACCGCTGAGCGAGATGGATGCTTTGTTCCCCCAGACATCTTTTTTCTGCCTTCAGGCAACTTCAGAGCCACACCCCTTCATTCAGAAGCCTTCAGTTCATCTCCCAGCTTTCATGTCTTCATTTAAACCAACAGAGAAACTTCACTTTTTAATGTTGGTTTCTCCTGTGAGGGGAAACAGAATTATTGACTTACATTTACAAATGTTTAAGGTTTAGCTCTAAATCATCATTTTATCTTCAGCTGAGGTCAGCATCTTTATATGAAAGCACAACAGAGCATTACACAGAAACTATCACCTGTTCAATTATTAAACTACCAACTGTCTGTCCTGACTTCCATCCTGTCTCTCCCAGCTGAACAACCCCAGCCTTGTGGAGGGACTGGTTCTGATCGACGTTGACTCGTGTGCTGAAGGCTGGATTGACTGGGCTGCTTCAAAGGTCAGCATTAATCCTCACTTTAGAGCTGGAAAACTGGTGATCCAAAACAAAACACCAGGTTATTGGTAAATGTCCTCTTCACGTGTCAGAATTTTTATTTTTTATTTTTTGAATATGCACAAAATGTCTAGCTTCCCACTTATTACATAACCTACACTCACCGGCCACTTTATTAGGTACACCACGCTAGTAACGGGTTGGACCCCCTTTTGCCTTCAGAACTGCCTCAATTCTTCGTGGCAT